AGCTTAAATTATGTGGCAATAAGTATAATAAAAAAGAATAGAGAAAATGAATAATCATGTTGAAATATTAAAAATAAAATTGAAATCAATTAAAGAATACTTTTTAGCCATTCAAAAAGGATTTAATAGTGCAATTGATAATGCAACAATTAAGTTTAATTCAAATTATGAAGATTATACATTATAAGTTAATTAAAAAATAAGTAATTTAGTAAATATATCTTGGTAATCTATGACTAAAGAGTAAATAATTATGATTGCATAAGATTTATGTTAAATTAATCAATCATATATTTAAGAGGATCCATTATTAGAAGAATATAATATAAAAGAGAATATAGTATATGAGATTGCAAAAGATACAATGAAATCATTGTAAGAATTATAAGCAACATTTTTTGATTAAATTATTCATTTGATAAGTAAGTAATAAGAAAAGAATATTAATAATTCACTTTAATTAAATTAACAGAGCACAAATATTATAGCAAGTTAAAGTACTGACATTATTGATTAATTGAATCTAAATTCAATAGTTTTTGAACATAAATAATAGGAATAGTAATTATCAATACAAATTAAAAAAGATAATAAAAATCCTCAAGATTAATAATAATAACTATCTGAAGCTATCTCAATTAAAGATAAATAATAATAATTTAAGTCATTTACTTATAAATTACTCGAAAAAAATTCAATTAAATAAAATGAATTCTGTAGAGCAATAGCATTCAATAAAGATTGTACATTAGTTGTAGCTGGATGCAATAATCTTATCAAAGTATTTGAATTTAAATAAGTATAATTAAAATAAATTTAACTTCTAAGTGAGCATTAAAATGACGTTCATACTTTATATTTCATGAAGAAATCTACTCAATTTATATCTGGAAGTGCAGATAAATAGATAATAGTATGGTCACTTAATGTAAATAAAGAATGGGTTTGTTAATAAAAGCTTATTGGTCATACACATTATATAAGATGCATGATTTTAAATGATATCGAAAATCTTATCATTTCAGGTAGTCCAGATAAGACAATTAAGTTTTGGATTAAGAAAAATGAATGGTAATGTTAATAAACAATTACAGATCATACTAGTTGGATATCTGGATTAAGTTTAAATGAACAATAGAATCGTTTGATATCTAGTGGAGGAGATAAATTAATATTAATTATGGAGTAGTCCTAAAAGGATTAAATGTGGATTATAATATAAAAGATTGTAGTTGAATAATATGGTGATAGAATATGCTTTATTAATAATGATTTATTTACATTTTAACCATATTCTCAAGACACTATGCATGTTTATAAAAAGAATAATAATAATCATTAGTATTCAAAATTAAAAGAGATTGATGTTAAAGGTGGCAGTTCTGGTGATAGTTATTTATTCCCATAATAATTTATTAAAACTAAAAGCCTTCTTGTAAATAAGAATGGCTAGAATATAAATATAATAAGGTAGAAAGGAGATAGTGATTTTATTAATGAATATATGATTGATTTTGAGACTTATTATTTATTTGGATAAATGAGTGATGATGGAGAGTATTTGATGACTTGGGATAACAAATCAACAGAAATTTAAATAAGAAGATATGATGAATTATGATATATATATTGTAGTAATATTTAATCTATTATTTATTATCAATATATTATGATTATCTATTTTAAAATTCCTCATTATTCAATATAAGAATAATCTTGTTGGAAAATTGAACAATTATTAAAATAATAAATAATTAGCATATTTTATATTATATTAAAATCTCTTTAATAATATAAATAGTATCAAAATAATTTATAATAATATTATTATATAGAAAGAGAGATTTGTTAATACTTCTAATTCTTCTTGATTGAAAGGTTTTGGAAGAAAAATGTCTATACCCAATTTCGAACCTTTAATATAATTTTCTTAAGTATCATATGCAGAGCATATAAAAATAATAGATTATTTTTATGTCAATTATTTTCAAGATCTAATTAATTAGTATTTATAATTTACTTGCTTACTTGTTTAAAAACCATCCATCCCAGGCATTTCAATATCAATAAAAATTAATTGATAAATTTAGCAATTTTATTACATTTTGAGTTTAACTTTTTCAATTGCTTATAATCCATCAAACACGGAATCTGCTTCAATATTATAATGTTTAAGCATCATTTTCAAAGCTATTTAATTAAATGGTATATCATCAACTACTAAACCTGTGTACATTTATTGCAAATCAATTTTTATTATGACCATTTAGAATAATCAAAATTTTTACAAGATGATATAAATAGGAAAATATTCAGGACTGATGGGTAACAAATCTAGAAGTGGCCTTATAAGTCTCATAGCACATCATAAAGTTAATTAATTTTTTTGAAATAAGAATTTTAAATTAAATATTCTTTAAAATCATTTATTCTTTATACAATTACTCAATTTCTTAACTAATTTATTGGAAATTCTGAAATATGATAGGAAAATTAGTAGGATTATAGAGCAGCATAATCTATAATATCATTATTTGATGAATCAGTAAGGCAGTTGAACTCTAAGCAATATCAAGACATTTCTTAACATATTTTTACAACTGTTTAATGGAGTTCTTAATTCATGAGAAAAAGATTTGATAAGACTATGATGAATAATTTATTCTTCTCTTAATTATTAGAATTTATGTTTCTGAGTTATATTTTTTATGATTATGAGTAAAATAGGGTTTTCAATTTCATTGGTGGGCTAAAAGTTGACTTTACTACAACTTTGAATTAATAATGAAGATTGGAAGTACTCTTATTATTAATTAGTCATTGAAGTTGGTATATTTATTAATTTGAGCTTTTTTTATGAACTATTTTAATTTTATCCAGATTTGATAACCCATTCATATATAAAAACTTATGACATAAAATTTAATTAAGTATCTGAAAAGGTTCCTAAAAGTTATTAATATTTTTAAGGTTATATCATAATGTCTAAGACATCAATTGGTATATATTTTTTTTTATAATATACATATTATTTCTTTAAGAAGATGATAATGAAATTTTTTTGATTAATATTGTGCTTAGAAGCTATTCTAATCATCCCATAAATAATCTCGTATTTTTGCATTATCTACACAAACTTTCAGTTTTTCTAATACTTTTTCTGTACCTTAACAATCTAATAGTTTTTCACATTTATTATTCATATAACTTACTGATAATTAAGAATTAAAATTAAAATCCTTAAGGGAAAAGATATTAAATGTATAAAT